ACTTCGGAGATATGTGGCTGGAAGCGCTAGCGAAAACTCACCAAAAAGAACAAGGTAATGATTACAACACTTATTGTATAGCATGAAAATGATTTTTTGTTGAGGATCGCCAAATTGAACAATGGACCGGGTTGTCGTGGGACATGCTCCACTGGGCACAATTCGACAGTGGGCCAACTTTTGGCCCATGGCCCAATTTGGAATATCTTCTAAAGTCAAAAATATCTTCAGAGTGATTCATATTCGAAAAAGTAAATAATTCGCCTTTGGCCGGAATTATAACTTGAACACTTGACAAACGTTATTCAAAGTATTTTGGTGGTAAAATGTGTGTCGCTCTGGAAATTCTCAGTCGCTGAATAAAAACTACATTTCCCCCTCTCTGCATTAGCTCTACAATGTCAAATAAATGTGTAGATTATGGGTATCAAAGGTGCAAAAGAAACAATGTGTCCTAACCTTCCACTACTCAATAGAAAAAATATCGGATGCAGGGATCAAACATTCCTGATGATTTGGAAGTATCAAATACTTGAAAATATACCAAAATTGTTATCATTTTCCAAATGTAGCCTACTTCTGACTAATCGCCTTTTGATTTGGGTACCTCCAACATTCAATATAATTAACATATATTTGAGTTCTGAAAAATCTCATCGTGCTTATCTAAAAATGGACTGTAAACAAAACTCCTCATTATATAACTGAAACATTGCCAGATGTTAGAAATATGTCAGCTACGTGTAGGACGCAAGGTTACACAACAAAACTGTAGATAAGTAGAACCGATAGTTTATATACAAAAGCAGAAACGAACACGAATATATATAAATGAATTTTCCCACGAAGAACACTTTAAAAATTTCTGTAGTGAAATATTTGATTCTGATGATCAAAATGAGTTGCAAAATGTTCCATTATTACTGAAAATTGAATGATCAGAAAATAATTTGAATTGAAAAATTAAATTTGAAGCACAAGAATGGAGAAATGAATAATCTGGCCGGTTGACGATGACCAATACTATACCTGATAAAGTCTGTAATAAGCATTTGACTAGTAATATCATAATGAAATTGAACTAAATTCACTGCTTTTTCTGGGTATGGGATAGTCGAGGCTTTCCCTATATCCATTTGGTGATTGAGATCATATTCCTCATCGCTTTTATGTTCATTTGTGAATGCTTTACTTAATTTCTCATTTTTGTAATTTTGGTTATTTATTAATATTTTTAAACAATTCTGTTACATAACTTTTCAATAATTCACATATTATGATATCACTTATTCATCCCTCTTATTTTTTTTAGATTTAATCGTAGCCGTTATCAGACTCCACCTGCCATATGACAAAATATCTCAGAATAATATAAGCTTGCAGTTCGACTATTATTACCACGAACACCACAGAGAAACATACAAAAGCCAGCGACGTCTCCAGATAATTTTATAAATATTATTGTTACAACTCACAGATTTATATAGCATAAATAAAATTATTCATTTGTGAGTGACGGGACAATAAAATTTATTGTTGAAAAGTCTCTAGTAATTTTTATTACGTTCGATCAATAAAACAGTATAAGATTCAATATTTCGAATGACACCGATGATCGTAGGAAATGTGCGTCCTAATATTGCACTAATTGAAACCGAAGAAAGTATAACGTGAGTTCAAATTTATAGTCCCAACGGGTAGAACGTTGGATTCGATTTCACACTGGGAGCCATTGAGTAACATTTTAAGTCAAGTAGGCTAGGAGTATATTTTTTTCAACCAGTAGAAAATCGATTTCACATAAAATATGGAGAAAAAAGATAATCAAGCAATTTTACTGGGGAGTGGAAGAAGCAAGGAACCGAAGCTGATTATCGAGCAGTGACATCCCTGGTTCTAATTTCTAATAAAAAAGATTGGAAAATTTAGTTACGGAACCACTGTTTTAGTTGCGAGTTAATTTTATACTGCATAGAAAATGAACCAACTGTTATATTTAAAGATAGATAAATATTTGAGGGTTTATTGAAGAGGCATCAAACCATAAGATAGTTGATGTATTCCCCATTCCAGCTGCATTGCTTGAAGCTTAAGAGGCAAATAGTTTGGGAAATTTTTGAAGATGACCTAAGGTAACCCACGTGGTTACAATGGTGAAGTATGAACTTATTATACCCAAAGTCAACTTGATTGAAGTCAGTTATGCAGTACCAACAGATTAAATAAATTTTGGAAATGTGTTTCAGAGAAAGGTACTGCATTCTTAAACGACTGACTATATGTTGAACAGTAAGTGATCTATGGGTCGATTAGCATATTTCAGTGGATCGCAAACTCGGTGGTCACGATTTTCGTAAAATTGAAAATATAGATATCGGCAACCCCACAACAAAGAAAGTACAGTAATTTCAAAAAATCAGCACATTCTGTTTAATTACAGTATCTTAATGCGAATGTGCCTGTACGTCGCCTGTAAGTTTTTGAAACCTTGGCCATACACAACAGACACAGGAACAGCAGCATCAGTGCGATACAGTAAAATAAGCCAGCTCTCGATTCATATATTAATTATATCCTCATGACAACGTGTCTTTCCAGATCTCATTCTAACATGAGAATCAAAAATTTGGATTGTTCAATCCACGGCTGTCAAACTCGCGACTCTCAGTGATCTCCAATGCGGCACATGAGTATTCATAACGAATTGCAGTTTTTTTGCAAGATTTATACTAAAAGGCACATTTTCCTGTACGGTAATTCAAACGTATTTTGCTTGCTTATACCTTTTGATAAAAAAATGGTGGAAATATTGAGTTAAATTTGCTAGAAGTTCCAAGAAGTATTGAAAAAATTTTCCACCTTTGGTTTCGACTCAAATTATGAACAATCCCCAAGCTAGAAAAAGAAAATTTCACTTACTTGCATTCAAATCCAAGCTACTTGTGTGTGCCGGAAATTAGGCCGCCCCGAACACAAGCGACCTCACCAGCGGTCGCGGCCCCCAGTTTGGTCACCACTGACTTAATTGACCCAAGATGAAAACAAGTTCCCGAGTGAGACGGGAAATTTATGCTTTATTCGTGTATATGAATGGGTTACAATTTAAGGTACGATTTTTATCGTTTTATTTCCAAATGCGGGCACTTAGGAAACAATGTGATTGATATTTCGCGACACACTCGACATTTGTTTGGCATACAACTGTCGTTCGTTTATTACTTATCGATCTTAAGATCGGTAAGTATGTTGATAGGTATTTGTCTGTTTGTCTGTCTGTTTGTATGTTTGTCTGTTAGATGAACGCGATATCTCACGAACGCGTGGTTGAATCTGCTCCAAATTTTGCATGTGCATGCATCTTACTTCAGACCAGAAGCCTATAGATTTTGGGTTAATTATGTCGTATAATTAGCGAGTTATTAACTAATTACCGATCTAAGATCGATAAGTCTTCAGTCTCCGACCGATATTCTCGTTTTCTATATTCATGTTGTTTCTAGACTGTCAAAATTCCATTTTGTTCTCGCTATATTTCGTTCAGATTCATCACGTTTATGTAGGGCAACGGGATGCAAATATTTTTACTGGGCTTAGGACATTCGTGACGGCGAGAGTTTCGTTACATTTGTTTCTCTCCTTCGAACAGCTAGCTGATTTATGAAACAATGAAGAGCCGGCGTGGTGATCGCCGGTTGGCTACGGATTAAAGGAAGTTTGAAATAGGACGCGCGAAATATTCACCAAACGACGTCTGGCGAAGACAGGCGATCTACGCGCAACCCTAGAACATATTAAACGCCTGTGGTCACAATAGAATATCCATCAGTTTTTTTATTTTCATTATATGGATTTATGGTCCACGGTAAGGGTTTTGTTTTTTATCAATTCTAAAAAAACATCATGTTTATAATTTCAAAAATGTAGGTAAAATTTTTTATTTCGACTTTTACATTTACCGCCACGTTTGTATCTCCACCAAAGTCATAAGATTTTACCCGGAATGTTTAGCCGAGATATCAGAGAGACGTTTTGAGTAAGAAAAATCATGTAAATTAGCTCACAATCCTACTACAAAAGCAATTAGATCTAGTGCATCCCTTCGGCAAAACGAGTGGGTTGCGATAATGAAGAATATGCTTATATCGGCGGTAATCTACTTATATAAACGATGAGACAACCTAGCCTATGTTAATTGTAAGATTCCTCTGATGCAAAGACGCCACAACTAATCTGTTATGACGCCATAATATGGATTTCGAGTACATGTATTGACATTTTTCTTATAAAATGAGGGCATTATTACGGTTAATACTGCTCGGTTAATTTATGCTTAGCATACTTTGTTTTTAAAGTTGAAGTGTTGAATCTTTCAAGGTTATACAAACTCATTTATTCGATCGCATTTCAATTTTCGTAAGGTGGTTTTATCGCAGCAGGGTCTTTCACGTAATGGCTTATCGGTTGCGTCTTACTGGGCCAACCACTGAACTACAGCTTGAGAAGGTGTGCATGAGCCTCTGTCGATATTTGTGGCGTTTTGAAATTTATTTATTTTGATTTATTGCAAATGAGAAGCGCTTGGCAAGTTTTTACATCCATTTTTCTTCAACCTATTTAATACAAAAAAATCAAATAGTACAGCCATTTTGAACAAAACAGGCAAAACTTGATTTAAAACAATTGTTTTAATTAACACAATTCTTTTTGAACAAATCTGTGGCGCGGCGATGTGGCTCAACGGGCTAAGCGTTAGAAATACGCTCGCCACCGCACCTCTAATTACTCTGCGTGGGTTCGCAGGTTCGAATCCCATGCAGGGATTTGTGCGAGAGGATTGCTGCGCTCCTAACCGCTGGTCGGTTACGGCTTCCTCCACCACCAAGTCCATGCTTCCGAAAACAAACAATATAACTAATCCCATACCCAACTCGGAATGGTAACCGGACGAGAGGCCGTGGTTCGCCATATGGATAAGCCGTCTTATCGGCTTTCCTCTCCCCCGGGATAAATATGTGAATCCTATCCTATCCACGGTGTTCTATATTTTGTCTTGCGAAATCAGAGAAGCCTAAATAGAAAGCCGTTACGCATCACTGGTTTGCATGTCTTTTCAATGGATGTTTCTCCGAGCACCGACTTCCTCGTTTACTTCGTGACATTGGCTAATCAGCAAAATGCAAAAAGTGACGTAACAATGCCCTTTTTCGCATCCGCTCGGACACTTTTTTCACGCAGACAGATTTTCAGGCGTAAACATTACCTCGTTTTCGCGTTTTTGAATTCTTCGGATGAGGGATGGGGGCTATGGACCATAAAAGGTCAAGAACCACCGACTAGTGATTAAAAAGCGATTTTCATTCGATTCCCAAGGTTCAATAAACTTGTAGTGAGACGGTTCTATTTTTCTCAGACTCGTGGGCGTCTGAATTTGAGATTTTGTTCATTCAGTATTCTATTTGTGTTATTTTCATTTTCATGGTAATTATATACCGCGGAAACGAAGGGAGACGCAATTTATTGCTTGCTATCGCATTCACATTGTGGAAAGTACCATGATCGAAAATGTGTTTACATTTGCAAATCCGGAGATTAAATACCCAATTCGAAAAAAATCTGTCTAAGCTTACAGATAAATCAGTTTCGCACTGGAAAAATGTTACGGCAAATGTATTTAAACTTACATATTCATGGTCACTTCCATGAAATAAACCAATGGGAATAAACTTTTTGTGGTGCGTAGTACTGATCCCGCTTGTAGAAATCGTATGACTGAAAACTTTGTGACAAAACTTACGCCTATCTCGGATATGGTTTGCTTTGAAGGGTACTGTTCCTCGATTAGGTGGATGGACACTTGGTTATGCCTAACAGAACGCAAGAGCTCCACATTACTGATTACTTCGTGCGAGAGATGTAGGTTGGAGCTCAAGTGGATATGCTGGTTCATTTAGTTGTGTTTCCCTCACTCAATGTGGACGGTAGTTTAAATAATGTTTACGATATCCCACATATAAGCTGTATTTAATGTACTTTCTCCGTAAGGGACTTCGTATATTCATTTTGTGTGAACACTTGAATGTGGTAGCCCTCTGTACAGTTTCCGCTCTTGTCCTAATCTGACCGATAGCGAATATAGTTAGCTTACTCTGTTATCACCATGGGAATTGTTTACTGTGGTTGGGTCACGTAAGCGATTTATTGCCACCAAAACTCTTTTTTCAATCGGCCAGGCTAGTGCTGTTATACTTTATACAAGTGTTTACTTTGCATTGGCGTCAAGTCTCGAAAATATAATTTTAAATCTATAATATTTTTTCTCTTGTTATCGAGCAATTAGAAAAAGGGTTACGTGTATTTAGTATGTGGAAATTCGTTCAAACCGTTTGTCGTTTTCCGCTTTGCATTTAATAGCTGTGGAATCGAGGTTTATTCAGGGCAAAATTTAGGGTTCTAGGAAAATTCATCGCAGAAAATTTCGCCGTAGAAAATCTCGCCCAGGAAATTTCGCCGCATAAGAAAAATCACCGCGTGAAAAGTAAGGTTTTTGAAGTACCTTTTTATTTGAAAAAGATTCGCTAGTTAACAGCATACCCTGACTCTATAAACCCAACTGTTTTTATCACAAATACTTGTTTTTACAGTAAAATGCTCTTGCGGCGATTTTTCATGCGGCGACGGCGATATTTTCTGCGACGAATTTTCCGGACACGAAAATACAAAATATATCAACTAATTCTGTTTAGAAAACATTAAATTATAAATAAATGTTTCTAAAAAAAGAAAATGACTGGAGTGACAGTGCTATTTTTGACTTTTGTAACTCTAATCAACGTTGTTCACTGTCAACTGGAACTGTCTGGTTTTCGAAACATAACATTATGGGCACACAAGGAATCGCAGAACTATGTGCAAAATCGAACTACACTACCTCGTGCACATCTAAATATGACATCATGGTTCAAAGACGCTAGATCAACCATAATTGGAAATGGTAAGAAACAACTAGTTTTAAGTCACTTCAATATTTTAGTTTTGGCAATCATTTTAAAGACTATGTTTTGAATCACATTAGAAAATATTTTTTGCATTCATAATGAGAATGAAGCGAATGAAACATTTGTTATATATATTTGTTTATCAGCAGTCGTGATCCTCAGTGACGACATAACAATCATAATAAGTTTTGACAAAAACCCTGAAGTCGGTAATATGAGAGACTGAAAACTGACTCTTCTCATGAATTTAGCAGATTGTATCGAAAGAGATCCGCGATTTACGCCAACAATTTTGCTTATTAGTAATATTGTATATGTGAATACGACTTAGTGCATGTTTTGTAATATCAATACATCGTGCTATATATATATATACGACTTAATAATATAGGTATGGTTTAGTCTGATTCAAGCTATTGGAACCAGATTACAGTTGCGAATATGAAAATTTTTTAGTTGATAAGTAAATATTACTTCACGGTTTGTCGACTCGACGACTCTGTAACTTCTTCTATTGGTCATGATTATTGATATATAAATATTCTTGTCTTGATTTTATCCTCTGTGATAAAATTATTAATTTCTCTGCAATTTTTTATTGCTGAAGTAAAATAAAAGCATTCTGATTAAGATTTGCAAAAGCTAATAGACTCTTTGCGTGTAAAACTGTTGTAGATATGTACCTAGAAATAAAATGTCATGGATTTTGAATGCCATCCAAGATAATACAACTTTGATGGCTGTAACTGAGAATTTAACGTGAATAATTTAGGTAAATCACGTGATGGGATATTTGAATGTCGCGCATGGATACCCCAAACATTTTGTTTATATCACTTTTTGATTCCAACAGCAATGTTTCCGCAATTAAGAAGTCAAAAATTGTATATTTGAATAATGAAGCTATAAAAGAGTTCAGGAAATTGAGCATTTACTTTTGAAAATGTAACAAACGGCAACATTATAAAATAATGACGGGTTCAAAATATTTTCCAGGTAGTCCCCGCGTACGAGGTAAATTTTGTCAACGTTGTCCCTGTGCATGCAAAACGTGAGTAAACATTTTTCAAATCTTGAATATCATTTAATGATCTTTTAGCAAAAAATACAAACGCCGTATCATATTATTTTGCCGAAAAATTACGTAAAATGCTTCTTTTATTCGTCATATTTAAAAAAAATAGACACAATTGCTGCATTAACAAAGTATATTTCAGTTTCCATTGCTGGTTTTTACCTATTTAACTTTAATTGCAAACTTATTTTCCATGTTAATGTGGCAAATATTATTTATCAGAAATATTATTTTGGTCTGGGATGTTCTTTAGCCTGTTTATTGAGCTTCAGGCACTAAGATCTTTAAACTAAATTTGAAGGGTTCAAGTGGTAACTACAAATATTATATGGGAGTAAATTAGAATAACATCGCAAGGTAAGTATGTCGGGTTGACGCCATGAAAGATTGCATCGCCTTTATTAGCTCGCGCTGTCAACCGCACGTTTAACGGGCGAGATTGAGTCGTGGTGAGCGACTATGTGGCATCGTAGGGTAAATATTTCGGATTCATGGTTTGAAGATATACCGAGCATGGGAGATTACTATATTTCAACTCAGTAGCTGTTTGTAAAAAGCATTGATCATGTCGACTGTGTGAAATTAACACAAGCCTTAATCACGTTAGAACATAGCTTTTTCAGAATTTTTTTTATTTCCATTCACAACAGCCAACCGAGAAAGAATGGATCATTTTCTCGGCCTGCGCTTCGTAGATATGTGGCTGGAAGCGCTAGCGAAAACTCACTAAAAAGAACAAGGTAATGATTACAACACTTATTGTATAGCATGAAAATGATTTTTTGTTGAGGATCGCCAAATTGAACAATGGACCGGGTTGTCGTGGGACATGCTCCCCTGGGCACAATTCGACAGTGGGCCAACTTTTGGCCCATGGCCCAATATGGAATATCTTCTAAATTCAAAAATATCTTCAGAGTGATTCAGATTCGAAAAAATAATTAATTCGCCTTTGGCCGGAATTATAACTTGAACACTTGACAAACGTTATTCAAAGTATTTTGGTGGTAAAATGTGTGTCGCTCGGGAAATTCTGAGTCGCTGAAAAAAAATACATTTACCCCTCTCTACATTAGCTCTACAATGTCAAATAAATGTGTAGATTATGGGTATCAAAGGTGCAAAAGGAACAATGTGTCCTAACCTTCCACTACTCAATAGAAAAAACATCTGATGCAGGGATCAAACATTCCTGATGATTTGGAAGTATCAAATACTTGAAAATATACCAAAATTGTTATCATTTTCCAAATGTAGCCTACTTCTGACTAATCGCCTTTTGATTTGGGTACCTCCAACATTCAATATAATTAACATATATTTGAGTTCTGAAAAATCTCATCGTGCTTATCTAAAAATGGACTGTAAACAGAACTCCTCATTATATATCTGAAACATTGCCAGATGTTAGAAATGTAGTATTAGAAAATCGGTTTCACATAAAATATGAAGAAAAAAGACCCACGTGGTTACAATGATGAAGTATGAACTTATTATACCCAAAGTCAACTTGATTGAAGTCAGTTATGCCGTACCTACAGATTAAATAAATTTTGGGAAAGTGTTTCAGGGAAATGTACTGCGATTGAATATTTATTGAACAGTGAGTGACCTATTTGCTTAATTCGGTGAACCGCAAACTTCTCGGTGTTCTCGATTTTCGTAAAATTGAAAATATAGATATCGGCAACCCAACAACAAAGAGAGCACAGCGATTCAAAACAATTAGCACATTCTGTTTAATTACAGTATCTTAATGCGATTGCGGACATGTGCCTGTACGTCGCCTGTAAGTTTTTGAAAAGTAAAATCAGCCAACTCTCGATTCATAACGTGTCTTTCCAGATCTTATTCTAACATGAGAATCGAAAATTAGGATGGTTCAATCCAGCTCAGTGACCTCCAATGCGGCCCATGAGTATTCATAACGAATTGCAGTTTTTTGTAAGATTTTCACCAAAAGGCACATTTTCCTGTACGGTAATTCAAACGTATTTTGCTTGCTTATATCTTTTGATAAATAAAAATGTTGAAAAAATTGAGTAAATTTTGCTAGAATTTCCAAAAAGTAGTAAAAAAATTTTCCACCATTGGTTTCGACTCTAATTATGGACAATCCTCAAGCTAGCAAAAGACAACTTCAAGAAGATGTGAATGATATCAAGTGATATTGTTACCTTATTTGGTGTTTTGGCTTTGAAAACACTGGGGGCGTTGTGACACTGTCGATCTGTTTTTCTGGGTGTGCCTGTTAGCGTGTGCTGTGGTTGGTAGGGTGAGGTTGTCTGAGTGGTGTTGGTTTTTGGTTGAATTGTGGTCATGAGTGTCTGTGGGAGTGCCTCTGGTCTCCGGTGGGTTATCGGGGATGTTTGTTTGTGGTTTTGTGACTGCGGGATGGGGGATTTGTTGGATGTTTATGTGCTAGACAGTAGGCTGATATTATTGTATCAGTACAGTGCCATTGCAGTTATTTTAGCGTTGTATTTTTGGTTGTTGTCAGGGAATTAGCTATCATCAGTACTGTTCAAAGCGTTTTTATTGTGTATATTCTGTTTTCTTGCATTGTGCTGCCTGGTACTCATCGCTTTATTGTATGCTTGTCGTTTTGTTTGGAGTATTTGGTTTGTGTTGAGATTGTTAATTAATAAATAAAAATATTATAAATTGAAGTAAATATTGAGAGGAAACGTGGCGTCAGATCATATTGGAAGATATTCTGAACTTGGCGTGCCTGTTTTATTTTTGATTGATACCGGTGCGGGTGTCCCTCATTGACACTGCGGTTTACTCGACGTTGCAGGAAAATTCGGACATTCCAGAACTGCATTCTTTTCAAGTACCACTTCGTACTGCCAGTGCGAGTCATAAGTGTCTAATGGTGCACTTGATGTCAACCTGACGATTGAAAGCTGGTCTGTGGAGCATACCGTTGTCGTCGCCGATCTAGGGTCACGCATGGGCATTCTAGGTATGGACTATCTTGGCAAATGGGACTGTTTTCTGTAGCCCTCGTCGGGTCGTTTTGTTTTTGAGGGACACGATGTTACTGTGCAGAACCGGTCCAAAACGTAAGTCATTTATTTGTTTACTGATATATTCATTAAATGATAAACGTAATATTTTTGCATTACTTGAATTAATCAAACATTCTCAACGATAGTTGTTTAATGTCATTGGATTAACCGATGATCATGTGAACTCGTTAATTAGAGTTGGTACTGTAAAATCATTTCAGCCTAATATTAGTAAGCTAATGACACAAAAGAGATGCCAAACGTCAGGACATATGTAAAACATTGAGTTTATTCTGGATTATTTTTGTAAATTTTAGGTCCAAATATTAAGGTTAAGTCATATTAGTGCATGTATTATTCTTTCCTTATCAAAACTTCGTTCAAAAATGTTTTGGATAGTTGTACATAAAAATTTATGATTTTTTGTAATAAATAAAGTAAATTTATATTCAATTTCGCATCAGGATTGTGGAACGAGCTGTAATGCGTTCAGTATGTTCATTTTCATACAAAACTCATTTTCTGGGCGTTTTTCAAGGGTTCGTCTCACGGCCCATAACCTTGGTAAGGATCTACATGTGTTTGATAACTTACTTATACTTTTTAACAACGTCTTAGCATAACTTAACTAATAATAACTAAACAGGGCTATGGAAAGGCTACCCAACTCAACGCAAGTGTAAAAACTAAGATTCGTCGGTTCGCTAACAGCTGATTCAATTTAATTGTTACGTCATGCAGAAGTCATTGTTCATTGCCGGAAATGTAGAGAATATAGGACAGATCGTAGGATTCGTAGCACATATTTTTTGTAGTAAAAGCGTCTTTTCGGTAAAACGTGCAACTTTTTGAAGTTGGAACAAGGCATTATTTGTTAGTAAATTTATAAGGAACATTTTAGAATTATTTTCACGCTACGAAACTCATTTTTTAGGCGTTTCTCAGGACCTCGTCTCACGGTCTAACGGTGTTTTACCTTTTGTCTTGCGAAATTTAGAGAAGACCATTTACAGGCGCCAACTCGCGAAAATTTAGCATTGGTAAAGTATAGGAAGAATTTTTCGGGGGTGAAAGGTCGGGAGAAGGTCCATTGCTTTTTATTTCGCGAAAGTAAAATACAAAATTGTACAATTTCCGACAAAATATAAATTTTTCGCGCAGAGGTAATTTTGAACAACAAATGAACTAAGAATTTAATAAATTCCCCTCATGCGCAAACCTCGCCCACTGTGAAGCTAGCAGCATTTTCAGCCAGAATATTTTTACACATTGAATATAGGTTCCACGCGCATATAGTGTTCACTTATAGGTAAATATGAAAATTGAAAATGCTGATCAAAATAAAATATTGGCACGAAAATAGATGAAAAATCTTTAAACTGAATAATTACACTAAATTTAACAAGAAAATAGTGTTTAAAAAAAGACTAACTAATCGAAAAATGAATTTTCAGGTATTCCGCAAATACAAAGTTTCGGAAAATTATCCTTTTCGGAACCTCGATTCCTCGAAAACCGCCAATAAAGGCAGCACCACGACACATTTGGAGAAAAGCAGATACCCTATAAATTCGATTTTTCTATAACAGAACAGTAGCAGTACGTTTTGGCTTGACCATATATATTGCCAAACATATCGTGTAATCTAAATTTTAATAAAGGCACGGACGTAACAAATTTAAAATTGATTTTGTATTTCAACTGAATTTGCTAGATAAAGGATAAAATATCATTTTCTCTTTGTCACACATTAATACTGTACATCTTTTAAACTTGGAATACGTTGCGGGAAGTATAAAACAGCAAAAAAACATTTGCGACTCCTAGTGGATTCTGTCCTGAATTACAAAAAATTATCGTTTTTAAAATGGCGATTTTTCGAAAACCGCCAATAAAGGCAGCACTACGACATATTCGGATAAAAGCACATACATTATAGATTTGATTTTATTATGCCAGAACAGTAGCAGCACGTTTTGACTTGGCCATATATAATACCAAACATAGCAAACAAAACAAAGGTACGTAACATATTAAAAACGGGTTTGTATTTCAACTAAAGTTGCAGGATAATTGATCAAATATCTTTTTATCTTTGTCGCACATCAATACTGTACGTCTATTAAAGTTAGAATAAGTTTTAGAAAGTATAATCCCCTTGAATTAGTTTGAGAATTTCGAAAATTATCGTTTTTGGATTGGTGATTTCTCAAAAACCGCCAATAAAGGCAGCATCACGACACATTCAGAGAAAAGCACATACCTTATAGATTCAATTTTATTATGTCAGAACGGTAGCATCACCTTTTGACTTTGCCATATATAATACCAAACATAGCGTATACTCTTTCAATTTTATGAACAATGTGGACGAAACAAATTTAAAAAGGAATTGTATGTCAACTAAATTTGCTGAACAGTTGATAAAATATATATTTTTCTCTTTGTCACACATTAATACTGTACGTCTATTAAACTTAGAATGAGTTGCAGAAGAAAAGTATAAATACCAAAAAAACATTTTACGCCCTCTCGTGGATTCTTTTCAAAATTTCGAAAAATTATCGATTTTGGAAGGGCAATTTCTCGAAAACCGCCAATAAAGGCAGCACTACGACACATTCGGAGAAAAGTATATACCCTATAGATTTGATTTCACTATAACAAAACAGTGGCAGCATGTTTTGACTTGGCTATATATAATACCAAAATAGCGTGTATTCTCAGTTT